CGGCGAGATCGAAAAGAGTCAGTTCCACGGCAGCGCGTAAGTAAACAATATTATAAATTTTTGTTTTTAATTTTTTAATATTAAATATTTTCTTCTATTTTAATTAGAAATAGGCACAAGGAGATCAAAAGCCGCGGGGAGAAAAGACAATTATAAAAAAGTATTTCAAATGTCTTTCTATTAATATTATTTGTATAAAAATATTAACTATGCGAATTGGTTATAGGAAATAGCGAAAATTAGAGAAAGCGTTAAAGAATTTAATTTTATTTACTTGATAAAAGTTCAAGACATGCGAAATCTTTTATTACAACAGTTGCGTGCTGACTTGAGTTCGAAGGGAAGGTAATAAAAAATAATAAATAATGAGTTCCCATTTGATGTATATTTTTTCATAACCTCGATATCAATTAACATTACTAATGTGATATCTTTTTATATAAAAAAAAAAGAATATTTTTTCACAAAAATACCGTTTTGACGATGGCACTGGGAAATAGTAAATCGGAAGAAATTGAGGAAAATTTGTGTGAATTTTCTAAAGTAAATTTTTTTTTTTGATTCCCTATTTGGATAAGAAACGTTCATGAAATTACAACTTAAACTTACATGAATATATATATATTTAAAAAAGGAAATATATGGTGAATGTGGTATACTTATTACCAGCGAGCCTGTCGAATCAGTTCGAGAATATATTGAAAAAGCTACTGTTAAAGATTATGCAAGAATGAAAAGTATTGTAACAGAAACTGTAACAATTCCTGCGGGAATTGTTTCGTATGGTCCGGAAAAAGGTGGTCAACCTATATCAAGAACTTGGGAGAATTTTTTTAAGAAGGTAGAGTTACCAATTGTAATAGAAAATAATGCAATTTGTTTACAGGAAGATTATACCATTTGCAAAATTGGAGATAGCCTTAGTGAAAACCAAGCTCATTTGTTGGTAAGAATATGTTACATGAAAAAAAATTCTACAGTATCAGTTTAATTGGTCAACACTTAAAATTAACACTTTCTAATTTATTAATTTAATAGCAAAAGTTGGGTTATAAGCTTGCATTGTTTAAATTAACTGTCACACATTGTTATGATAAAACAAAAAAAGAAACCTTTATATTTTAGATTAAATAAATTATAAATTTTCTTTATACCTTGTACATCTTTCGTATGGGTTAATTAAATACCACTGTTCCCACAAAAAATTGTAACTTGAGAATCAAAAATAAATGTGCATTATTTTCTAAGAAAACTACGTTTTAGTTAGGGTTAGGGTAAGAACAGTGTAGGGTTAGTAAAATTTCACGAGGAACATTTTTAATTAGGCCGCAGAAGGTGGTTTACTAATTAAAATTTAGGGCTATTCTTTTTTTTGTAAAAATGGACTCGCTTCGATTTTTATGTTATACCTAATCCTAAAATCCGATTGGCCAATATTACAGGAGACGACCAAATTTTTTGTGGGAGAGCTAGTGCTATGGGTTATAAATAATCGATTATAGTTGACTAATCGATTAATCAATTAATTGATTATTTCGATTAGTATCTGGTATCCTTGTATGTACGTGTCGCCAAACTTGGGGTTATGATATTGCAGACTGGATTGTTTACTTTCTTGATCTTTTTGAGATTTAAACATGAAGGAATGATACTATGTATGTGATGAGTAGCGATTTTCTCTACAGGCTATTTATTTACCCGACATCACGCGCAGATTATTAAATAGACATTGATATTTTGATAAATGCATGTTACTATATTCATAGCAGTCAGTACATACATACACATTGATTATATATACAACTAATCGATTAGCAAACTAGTTGAATGATCGATTAATTGGTTAATCAATTAATCGAATTAGTTAGAAATCGATTAGTTAATTAGTTGGTCAATCGATTAATCGATTAAAATCGTGTTTGCAATAGTCAGTCGATAGCTGCCAACTCCTAATCGATTGACCGATTTTCGATTCATATCACTAGGGGCGTTATATATTATATATATATTATATATTTTCTGTTGTCACGTGCAACGAATTTCCCTCACATTCATCAGCGAGTCTATTTCATAAAGAAATAATATATCTACTTAAGATGAGAACACAAAAGATAAGTTCATGAAATATGATTTACCTATTTATACGTTTGATCGATTCCTCTAATTCACGAATTTTAATTTTATTAAATTTTATCTTTTTCAATAATTGCTCACGTAAGTCTCTATTATTAAGGAAGTAGTTAATTACACGCTAAGATATTTAAAATAGAACAATGTGAAATTATTACCGATTGTCTTGACGTAAATTCAAAGGAACATTTTCATACATTAAATCTAATTCAGATGCGTCATCCCTAGTCGTTTCGTCAGCAGAATTTTGAGAAAGTTCTTTTATTTGAGAAACTTTTATTTGAACAGTATATGAGTAATTCTCATGTCACGTATCGATTTAAGTGTAACATGCTTTATAACTTACATTCGTAATTAAATAAACCTTCGAGAGTCGATTTTGAAAGTTTTTGTTCGATCATATTTTGCACTATGGAACGAAAAATTAGGCTAATTTAGAATCATTAAAAAGTTTTATAAAAAATTTTTGAAAATTTTGAAAAAAAGTTTTTTTTACAAACGTTCAACCATTTTTTCTTCCAGACATTTTAGACTTTCCTGTTTTTCTTGAGGTAGCATGTCAAAGTTTTCTTTTTGAATAATATTCTCATTCCCTTGATGAATTGTTTTATTAATTTTTTGTAACCATTTTAACAATTCTTGTTGTGAACTTTCAATTCCCGTTTCATAAGTTTCTCTAAAATTATTTATATTGAGAGAAAGCAATCAATTATATTCATTGCATTCGAAAAAAAAAAATAGGTTAAATATAATATCATAATTTTAACATAAATTTTTACCTTAGCTTCTTACAAGAGTTCCATGCTTCATTAACTTTAGCATCCATTTCATAAATATTCGAATTCAAATTTGATAGATGACTGTTCAGACTACAAAATTCATAAAGAATTTAAATTATTCAATTTTATAAAAATCGAAATTCATAAAGAATTTAAGTTATTCAATTTTATAAAAATCGAAATATATTTATTATTATTATTATTATTATTATTTTGCTTATTCATTATTTTTAGATACTTACTCATGGATTAAAGTTTTATTCTCGCGTAAGAGAAACTCAAATTCTTGGATGGCTTTAATATATTTATGTTAATGAGCAAAGTTCATTATAGAGAGAAAAATATATAATGAAATTAAGTTTTAATTATTATTTAAATACTTTGGGATTGTTCTTCCATATCTGTTTTTTTTTCGCGAAAATGAAAAGACAAATAATACGCGTTTTTTATATAACCGATGATAAATATTACGTATGATTACATAGTTAAAATTCATATGACCAATATTTTATACGTAACCTATAAAAAAAAAAGGATAAAAATAATGATAAATTATAAAAATGTAAAAGTAACTAGCAAAATGATATTTTTATTTATAGTTATTATCGTTGACCTTACTTTAATAAAAAAAAAATTTTATAACATAAAAAAGGACATCGTTTTCGTCATTTAAATATGGAAACTTCTCGATGATAAAAAAAAACGAGCATCATAACTTTTAAAATAATCATAGCCTAATTCCATCATTACGAATTTTTTTTAAGGTTGCTGAAGCAAGAAACTTTCAGAGAGTACTGTATACTAGGCCAAATTAGGGAGCATAGTGGAATAATCAAAAACTGCGTTTCTGGTTTCACAGACAATTTATAAAAATGGTTTAAGAAAATGATCTTGACATATAATGATAAATTCTAGATTTGATAACATTGTCTGTTTAATACTATTCAATGAAGTACAATTAATAATCATTACCAAAGCTCGGCTCAAAGTTTTATTCTGCGCCTATAAACTCAAAAAATGTTATATAACAATCCATTTTTAATCAAATGTATAACGATAATAAACTCATTTTAGATTACTCTAAATAGAAGAACATTCATAATTCCGAAAAAAAAAAAAACGTGGTGACATTTTCACAAATTCGTGAATTCACAAATTACTAAATACAGTAAGCTATTTTACAGACAATTTTGGTTGTTAAATTTCTGATTTGCCATAACGATAATTATTAATATAATACGTATTTTAACTTCACATGTGAAATCTATTAGATCGTAAGAACGAATTTATTAGATATCGAGAAAACGAAGACATATTTTTTAATTAAAGAAATGAATTGTACCTTTCTGTAAATCATTTCCTTTCTCCTTCTTGTTTTTTTTTAAAAAAAAAAAAAAAACCAAAACCAAAAAACAAATAAAACCATTATATTTTTTCGCTGCGCTGTCATTAATTGAAACCTTTAGACCCTCGACTTATGCGACATAAAAGAGAGGTAATAGAATAAATTATTTAGCTTTTTAGTGACTCGTCTTACAATCCAATCGGAGTAATCGGAATACAGGAGTAACGTAATTTAAAAATAGTGTCATTACAGTGGCGAAAGATGTGGCGATGTGGCGATGTGACACAACGCCATGGTTAAATTTGGTGAGCTTTTGGTTGAGACATAACTTCTCGAAGGAGGATTCAACTAATCTAAATAAACCGACCGTTTACGTCAAATAATGAAAAAAAAAAAAAGTATATATACTCCGGGAAATTTCTTTTCGTCATTTGTTGTGAATTGGAGTGTTCAGAGACAAAAAAAAAAAAAAGGGTCAATAATCTTATTTAATAAAATGAACGAAAAAAGTCAAGCTACTTTCTCAGTTAATGCCAATAACAATCAAGTAAAATCACGAACCTGCGTCTTTATCAATTCTAATGATCCCTCTGTGAAAAATCAGATGATTAACAATCTTAAACCATTTATCAAACCTCCTTTCCCACCTGCAATCGATCCACATGATTTGATAACTTTGCTTCCCAATGGTAAAACATCCAAAGCTCCTAATGCATTTCTTATTTATAGAAAAGCATTCATCGATGCAGCTAGAAAGGATGGTTATTCACTCCCAATGACAGTTATTTCCACTATGGCATCTCAATCTTGGATGCAAGAATCAGAGATCGTTAAAAATGAATATAAGCAACTTGCAAAGGATGCATTTGATTATCGTAATGAAATTGTTCCTAAATCTGAACGTAGAAAAAAAAGAGGAAAATGGAATATTATTTCATTCTCTAAACCTACTCGCAAAACTCCAATTGTTAAATCACAAAAATCACAAAAATCCGAGAATAAGCAAATTATTGAACTACCGTCTCCTCCAATATCATCACCTGAACCTGAAATTGATAATACTTTTAATAACACTATTCAAACTACTGAATTACGCACGAATTTAATTCCTGAGTTACCTTCAAATTTGACACCTGAATTATCATCAAATTTGGATGTTTATACAGAATGGGCGAACTTCTATAACACACAAAGCTTCTTTTCTAGCCCAGATCTTTCAGTTTCCGGAAATAGTTCACCTGAATTAAATAATTATTATGAATTTGACCTCGGAATCACTTCTTCAGAACCGATGTTTGCTGATTTTCTTAATACGCAAGTTCAAATAGAACAACCACAAATGATTTGCCCTCTAGTTAACAACATGCCTTTACTTGGTGATACTCATGATTTAGAATCAACCGATGATATCTCTTTGAATAATTCACTTATTGGAGGTCTTGACTTTCATAGCAACTTTACTGATACGACTATCGATAACTTTACCTTTCCCGTGATATATCAAAATATTTCTTATGAAATGGGATTCGATTATTCATTTATTTTATGAATATATATATATTTTTACCTTTTTATCGTTATTATATGCTAATAAGAACACTATGAACTTGAATTTTTACACCCAAGATATGTTAATACATAAGTTTTATGAGCTGTGTATTTATGATATATTAAAATTTTATGAGCTGTGTATTTATGATATGTTAATATGAACTTTATGAACTGCGCTTACGATATGATATTAAAATTATAAACTTAAGCTCTTTACTTTATGACATGTTAATATGCACTTACAATATGAACATAAAATTTTTTTAAAAGAATTAGATGGTTTTATTTTTTTTCATTTTTTTTAAAAAATCCTTTTCATCTTTCCAGTTATTGTAATTACACGATTAAAAATGGCAATTGGCAAAATTCGAATATAACACTTCCTATTATAAATAATATATATATATTTTTTAAAATTATTAAAGTTTAATAATAATTATTGATACAAATTTTTTAATAAATAAATATTTACTAAATAAGTATCAAATAAAGTTTTTAATTTCTCGTGAATTTAAACGCTATTTTCTTTTCCTATCTTAAAATCCATAAAATCCATAAAACTATATAAGGTAAACCATTTGTTTAATGGAAAATTATCTATACAAAAAAAAAAATGCTGTACAGCATGTGCATAAAGAATAACATGACCTAACTATCCTTCCCAGTATCACATAAGCTTATGTATGTACTTAATCACTCTAGAAAATAAGTTTCAGAAATAAGATAGACACGTTTATTTTTCCATTGTAATGCAAATTAGCTCATCTATTCTATTGATGAATCATTTTCTGTTATAATTAATATACAAGTGGGTTGAATCATTTTACATCTTATTTGAGAAGATAGATAACGATCAAGGAGGGATATTTCAATGTTGTTACATTTCTATATCGCATACAACCTTCCAATCTTATTCTGACTCATTTAACACTACATTATTGAGAATATAATAATAATCCCTGAGATCTTGATATAGTATTAGGGTGATTATTTACCATATTAATTCTTGAATAGTACTCAGGAGATACAGTATAACTATTTTAATTCGTTACTTTGCAATTCGGATATAGCACTGTACTAATAATTTAAAAAAGGTTTTGAATAAATTCTAATGGTGCTTGATTCTAAGTATTGATTTCTTTGATATAAAGGATGTCTTGAATGAATTTCCAAATTTAAATGAATTAGAACGTTCTTAGGCCGAGTGTAAGTTATAGAAATATACAAACTCGACGTTGAATCATTGAATCTTGCTGATTAATGAATGTAATGAATGTGGTATAATGTGTACAGTACTTTGAAATTTGATAATCTTATGCACATGCTCGCGTATAAATTTTACGAAAAAGGATATACAACAAAAGGATATACATTATGGATCAAACAAACATCCTAAAATGGCTATGTATATACGTACGTAAACATTCCTAAACAACATGTACGTACTACGTACCAAGGTTGGCGCTCAATGGAGCCAATAGATAAATAGTAGTTTATTGTCATTAGAGCTCATTGACAATGTATATACGTACGTACGTACAGTACGTTTTACCTATCAACTACTGTATTCAATTTTTAAGACAATTTGAAAACAATATCCGGTTCAAAATTTTTATTACTTTAAAATATAAAGCTATTTTTCTTTAGTATACTGTGATTCTAAATATATTATTTTATTAGCCCGTGTATTATTAATTATGCCTTATTTCTCCTTTACAATAAAAAGCTTGCAAATTTGGTTATATTTAATATTAAATTCAGAAATTTTAAATATAATTTAAAAAAAAGTGTTAAGCGCTCAAACCATAGTTTTCCTTTTTTTACTATTTACAATAAGTTTCATCTTCGGCAGGGTGAATAAATATTATGTAAAATAAGTAGCATCTATTTAAAAAAAAATATGATATTCAAAGAAATAAAGAAAATCTTCCCATTTTATTGTCGTGAATGAATTTAAGCTCCGTACGTGCGTACCTAATTTTTTGTGCCAATACTAGGTGGTTCCAAAAAGATCTATCCCTGAGTGATTTTGTTCTGTCATTTGTAATAATCGCCCTAAAGTTTGTCGTTCATGATATTATGTAAATTATTTTTTGCATTTATCATTATAAACTTACATTATAGGCCTATACCTCGAATCCTGAAATTCCGTTACTTAATTATCCCAGGAGTTAAGTCTGCACTTTCCCACCTTTATAGTAAAATCCGGGCGTTATTTCGAATAACTTAAAGAGAACTAATAACGATAATATTTTAGCCAAAGATTTTCTAAAGTGACATTATAATAAACATAATAAACATCAGAATTTAAAGAGCCTTTTGCAAGTACTAAAGTTGTAATTAAATAGAATTTGGGCATGTCCTTTGGTCAAAGAATATGCATATTTTAGAAATCAAAGCATGAGAAAAATTTAACGACCATGGGTGTTATTTTGAAAATCGGGTCCTTCAAAAATTACACGTGTGATTTCGAAATAATGTACATCATACAGCATACGTATAATTCGAAAATTTTGATTTTCACTTCGAAATAACGAACGGGTGCCGCAGGCGTACATTATTTCGTAGTTTTACGGCATGCCTTAAAATTATTGTATGTTTTAAAGATGTCAAAAACATTTTCTTATTTCTCAAACCTTAACCTTAACATTTCAAAATGCATTGCTTAATATTGTGCGCGACATAATTAAATCTTTTGATGATACACATACCTATCAGAAAAATTTGGTTGTCTCCTTATACGTAGATGCATTACAATATGTCAAAGTTAACGCTAATAAAGTTGCAACTCCTAATGTAAATGTATATTTAGATTTTTTTTTAAAATTACGATGCCAAATTTTCCTAATATTACAAAGCGCAGAAGTAGGTTTCATATTTGGGAGTCCCACAACAATCCCACTTTTTTTGCTATGTGGCCTCCCACTTACATCATAAAGGGATATACATTTAAACGACTTAAACGACTAGGTGTTTTGTGCATTTAAGTACTGCATAGAAAATCTGGAGTCTTTTACTACATTGTATATAAATTCTGATACCATATTAATCAAAGAATGTTTTTATGCAGTGGTTAAAAGGTAATTGTTAGGAAGTTTATTGTTAGTAATTTTTTCTATAAAAATCTTTTAATTTTTTAAAAATAGAAATAGACAATAACACTAATCATGCAAATGCTGTTAAATTATTTTCCTTAATTTTTTCAAAATGGCGTTTGTCAAAAATAAAAAGCAAGAAACGAACCGTTCAATCTTTCTTTTTTTTTTTTTGAATTGACATAGAGAATTTTAATTTCTTGAAAAAAAAGTAACATTAGAATCGTTTTCCCATTTGTTTCTTAGAATACGTATTAGTAATTTTTTTTTCATTCATTTATAATAATAATTGTGATCAACAATCCATAAACATTGTTAAAAAAAAAAAAAAATGATTCGATCTATCAAAAAAACATTATTAATATGGTTAATCTTGGTAATATGTACCGTAGTAATTCATTCCAAACAAATATTCAGTAAAAACTATTCTAGAGAAACTCCAAAGAAAAATCTTTGTCGTTCATTCGTAGATAATTTTGACACTGATAAAATTGTTTATAAAGATGATTATGTTGGAGGTCCTGATTCTGCTAATTGGGTTGATATTAGTGAAGCTAGAGGTGCTTACTCAATAAGTTCCGGTAAACTAAAAGCCATTTTGCATAAACCTATAGGAGGTCAGAATAGAACAAAAGATGAAGATGGTATATGTAATACAAATATAGGAAAAGGTCTTGAACTTAATAGTACTTATATGATGTTATATGGCACTGTCAGTGTCGAAATGAAAGCCTGTGGAGTTGGTGGTGTTGTCACAGCTTTATGTGTAAGTATATTTGTCACCAATGACTAAAATTATTATTTTGTTCAAACTGTGATATTAAATAATTTACATTAATAGTTTCTATGTAATGATGTAATGATTTAACACACAACATTGACTATGACTATTTCAAAATCGATGACAGGATTTTTTATTTATAACAATTAATATTAATTTACCTCTTTTTTTTTTTAGACAATGTCCGTAGATGGAGATGAATTCGATTGGGAAACTGTAGGAAAAGACGTAGAACACGCTCAAACCGACTATTTCTACCGAGGTCTTCACAAAACTGGAATCGACGGGATCATCCATTCATTCCCTGATTGTGGAACTATTGACTCTGACTTTCACACATACACACTAGAATGGGGTCCAAAAAGAACAATATGGTCAATCGATGGTGTTACAGTTCGTACCTTGGAAAAATCTTCAACTTTTGAAGATGGTATATATAAATATCCAAGTAAACCTTCATATATTAAATTGGGTCTCTGGGATGGCAGTGGTTGTAATGGAACCGCTCAATGGTCTAATGGTCCTATAAATTGGGATGAAAGTCCTGACACGTATATATCATATATTAAGAGAGTTGAAGTCACGTGTAATCCTAAATACAATGATATTGTTGTTGACTGTGACTGTGACGATAAATAAATTACTATAATAGAATAGAATTCTTGTTTAGTTTAATCCGTAAAATTGGATTTTTTTTTTTTTTGATTATAAAATTAATATTTTCTGAATGGATTTGTTAAATTAATTAAATAGAACTAAAAATAAAAAAACTAATCTATTAGAAAATTATAGAGTGTTGAATATCTTTTTTTTCTCTAATAAATCTAATAAAAGAAATAAAATATATTAATTAAATTAATTAAACTTGTATCTATCATTTATTTTATTATAAATAAAATGAAATTTTGATAATTATGTTTAAATAATAAGATTTCCATGTCTCATTTAGCAACGTTTATTTATTCATGATCCTGATACAATTTAAAAATGAATATTTCTATTCATCCACTGAAAAATACGATCTCCCTGGAATCGTATCCATTTCTAATTCGTTAATCATACACTGATTATAACAATTAAAAACAACTATATCACTCCAGTAGATATTGCTACCACCACCAGAATAAGAACTACAATTAATTGCATATTCTAGTTCTACAAAGAAGCAATTTAATCATATGAGTTATTTATTACAGTTAGTCACATGTGCTTCACTCAGCAATTTTGGATGGTAACGTTTGTTTTTAAAATTAGATAAATTTCTGAATTTAGACTTGAATATTCTTGGCGAACGATTTGCAATTGATTAAATAATTGTTCTATAAAAGTAAATGAGCAGTTATTAATCAAAAATAAAGTTTAAAAGTTTAATTCTAACAACTAACTAAATATAGTGAACCTGAATTCATTACCAACGTTAATTCCATATTTGTACCATTTACTGTATCACCATCTCAGATTTTTTAAATGCCTCATATCTTAATGTTATAAATTCAAAAAATTTTTATTGGCACAAACGCAAAAAAATATGCACGAAAAAAAATTTTATATGCGCTTTATATATATGAAGAACGCGCAAATTTAAATCAATGTACGCTGCGCCTACTGCGCCGATCCAATTTACATCATTAATCTTTATCTTATTATTATGTTCACCAAAACTTTCACTATACGTAACAGGCGCCAACATTAAGTATTCCTTTGATTTTTGATAATATTCATTTTTTCGACTCCGATAACAATATAGGTAGGTGTATTTAGCATCACCCATATTACCAGACTTTTGATAATAACAGAACACTTTTTTTTTTTTTATCCTTTTCAACCTCAATTCCTTTTCAACTCCAATTCCATTTGATAACAATTACCAACGTTAAATTTCCAGCAGCGTTACCCATATCAGCAGAGTTTTTCGACTCCCATTTTCATACAACTTTCAATATTCCTCTTACGTCGTCCATTTCGATGCCTTATATCTATAGATGCTGGTGAAATTAATTTCACCAATTTCACCAATAGTGGTGAAATTATTTCACCACATTTCACCATATTTCACTAGCATCTATACTTATATCTATCCATTTCAACACCAATTTCTCAATTATAGCAAATTTTTCATCTCGATGGATTTTTTGACTTCTCTATTATTATACAAAGACCAACGATATATGTTTGGGGTGTACAACATCAGCCTAATTACAAACATAGTGCAGGTCATATACAGGGACGATGATTGTCTGCGTCACGGAATTTTGCAGAAAAATCAGGAATTGGTTCAGAACATTTTTAAATCTTGGTCTGGATTTAGGATCTAAAGTCATCATAGTGCTGGCTGGCATTAATTTGGCCAGAATTTGCGGATTATAATGCTGGCCGACTTTACGTAATTCCGGCCAACCGTAGAATTTTTGCATTTTGTCATTGCAGAAAATCATGATTACTTTTTTAGTGTACTATAGATCAACGATAATTTAATAGTAACAACATAGAAAGTTCAAGCTGCAATAACTCTTGAACAAGCAAACCACACAAATAAAATTATATTTGTCAAGTTCGTTATAACGTGCTTTTTAAAGTAATAACGCTTTTTTTCTGGGGGAATAATGTAATACCAAAATTCTCGTTTTTGATTTATTTTTAATAAAAATATCAAAAACGTAGCTATTGCATATTGTGTCGTTCACAATAATGCACATAAAATTAGAAGTTGCATTTTTGATGTTTTTTATTAACAACAAATCAAAAACGAAAATATTTGTATTACGTTATTCCCCCGCTACGCTCCAGACAATAAAAATCTTGATATGACCTGCACTATGTTTGTAATTAGACTGATATTGTACACCCCAATATAATTCGGTAGCTTTTTGAAACATTCGAACTCTTCCTTATTGTTACTTCAAGCTCAAGTCCGTTTCCTGTTCGAACATTTCGTTAGTTTCTTCCATAATTATTAAAAAGAAAAAATTGGACTAAACAATAAATGTAACGATAATATATAAAATTCCATATAAAATTCTAATACGTGGTTACTTGAAATTTTATTGTGGAAATTCGGATTGTATAAATGAATAATACTATATGATATGGGTACAAATACTAGTTGGAAAAACAAATACTGAAATACCGTAATAAGGAAAATTTTCGAATGCCACAATAATATTAACATAGCTAACTATTTAAATGCGTTCATGCGTTCGCTAAAACATTAATGTAAATTCAAATTGTAGAGATTAACGTAACCAATATACAGTAAATAGAGTCTAGACTGGGCCGGGCCAACCCCGGGAATTTATGGGACGGGCCGGGTTCGGGCCTAGTTTGGGCTCTTATTTTTGGGCGCAATTTGGGACCCGTAAAATTTTAATTTTAACGTTAAAAACTTGAAATTTTATAAATTTTTAAATAAATTTTGATTTAAATTTAGAAAATAACTACATTTAACCGGGGGGAAATTACCTCCCCTAATTATTTTTTTATATAATATAATATAGAGCTACTATAAGTGCCCGATAGGGCCCGATCTCAGTTCTCGTGAGGTTTTTGGGGGTCCTAAACATTTTTACTTAGAGTACCTGATCCGGTTTACTTAGTACGTTTTTGAGATACAGCACCTCAAGGTAATTCCCCCTGGTGGAAATTAGAAATTCTCTTAAATTTAATATATTTTAGATAAATTTTAGAAAATTTTATAAGTAAGTTTATTCTTTTGTTTTGTTGAAATACAATATTTTAGGCATTTTTATTAATTCTATATTTAACTTTTACTGATTATTTGAAAAAATGTTATTATAAAACCACAAGTTTGAATTTAATTTATTGCAATCCTGACCAAATATAAAAATGATTAGGAACTAAGTCACATAAATTTATGTCTCTATATCCCAGCATCAATATCCAATACAAGCTAGTTATGCACTGTGTATCTTAAGTTAATTCATGATTTGTATACCAATCAGTGAATATATAGTAACATATAGAGAAAATTAATTATTGTTTATTTAAATTCCAGGATTCTGGCACTGTTGAAGCAATAGCGAACTTTTTTACTAAGCTAACCTTTCTTCAACATCCAACAAAGTTGTAAAACACAATCTTGTGCATCTAACAGTGGTAAACCTATTAAAATTGGCCTGGTAAATTGTGAAATATTGTTAAAAACATTTTGTGACCATATAAAGTTTCTATGTAAACAACATTATTGTTTATATAGAAACTTTATATGGTCGTAGATAATGATGCTTGACGAAAGTTGAAATAGTTTCATCTAGACGAATTATAAAACTATTTCATCTGGCAGCTTCAATTAGATGAATAATGAAAGACAAAACCTGTGATGAATAATAAAACTTATAATAAATAATGAAACTTATAACAAAATTCTGCAAATATATATATATATATGAGAAAAAAAAATAAATAAAAATAAAATGTGTGACTTTGAGGTGTGGCAACTTAGTATAGTGGTCTAGTCATCACACTCTCCAAGTGGCAGGTCTAGAGTTCAAATCCCACAGATAACGATTTTCAAAAATTGGGCTTGTGTTCGGTTAATAGCTATGCTTATCGGTTGGATCTAATCTGTAACTTTGGTCATATCATCTAGTAATAGGAGCAATGGTGCAATAAATCCGAGGAATCAGCATAACCGAAAACCCATTTTGGAAGTCCCGAGTTAGGAGTAGCAGTGATCTATGATGGTATCAAAGAGGGCTAAATTCAAACCAGGGCCCGAGATCGGAGAACTGAGCGACCAGGTTCTAATGGCGGAGGACACACCAGTCAAACTGCCGGGTTGTCGCATTAGAGGAAAAGGACATACACTCCGAAAGTATATACCAAGAGGAGGGCATCCTTCAGGCACCTAAAGCCTGGGCAGACCAACCTTTCTGAGTTGCCAGCTGGAAGTAAGGGAGGGACTGATAAAGAATCCGGGTAAGAAGACGGTCTAATTGCGGGTACTAGGGTTGTTGTGAACCTATTCAAGGGCGAAAGTAGGTAACGGTCTAATTAGGAAGGTTGTAGTTGTCAGATTGGGTAGTGGTAGCACCCTTAGGGGTGGCTTGAGATACGAACTTGGTTCAGCGGCATAATTAGTACTAGTTAGATAAGGGGTTCAATAGTTAGCCCTGACTCTAAGTACATAGGTCAAGCTGTGGTAGTAGGTTACCAAAGCCTGAGTAAATACATGGGTGGGACATGTACCCTAGCAAAAAGTTAGTCACCGGCTTCAATGTTGAGGTTTGGTGCAGTTTCACGATTAAGTAGTGCAGCTATTACATCTAGGGCTTAGTAAAGCAACCAGGTGGAGTCAGGTGTTTCAGTAATTATTAGTTCTACAGTACAGGCACCTGTCATTTAAAAATAGTTCTCATATGCTATTTGCTGACAGGCTTAGAGTTTATTACTTACCATCTATGTTAGCTAGCTAGCATCATTTGTACGCATGAATTAATTACTAAAATAAATACCTGGCAAGATATGCCAAAGTTAAAAAAAAAAAAAAAAAAAAAAATATATGACTTTTGCTTTAGGAATCATTAAAACTGGTTAGTGTATTAATGTTTTCTGATAGTAAAATTTTGGGATCTTCTTTAGTATAGCTAGGCAATATAGAAATATTATAGTTTAGGATCTTC